GGGGGGCACGTTGCAGGGGAGAGGGGGGGTGAGCTGGGACAGGTCCCCAAGGGTGGGACATCCCCACCGGGGCTGGTGGGACAGCCAGCGAAGGTCTGTCCTTCCAGGGCTTCTTGTCGGACCTGCTGAAGAAGGCGAACCGGCCCTACGACGAGCCCAAGCTGCAGGAGTACACGCAGACCATCGTGAGTGGGACCTCCTGGGGGACAATGGCTCTCCCGGGGCAAGGACAGGTCCCCCACCCCCGGGGGTGTCATCACCCCACGGCGGGTGGGAGGAAGGGGAGGAGGAGGAGGAGATGGGTGACCCGGTGCTGCTTCTTGTGTCCCGACAGCTGCGGATGTTCGACATGAATGGCGACGGGAAGCTGGGACTCTCCGAGATGTCCCGGTAAGGTTGGTGAGGTGGAAGCAGTGGGGAAGGGGGGACACACACCCCAAAATGTTCGCATCCGGGAAGATTTTGCCCCAGCTTCTGAGGAAACCAGCTTTCCTCTTTCATTCACTCCTGTTTCTGAGCCAAAAAGTCCTTTTGGATTAAAAAAACAAACGCCTTTTCCTGACTGCTTCCCCCTCATTCCCGTCCTCCTTCTTTTTTCAGACTTTTGCCCGTGCAAGAAAACTTCCTTCTGAAGTTTCAGGTAAAATCATAATTCAAAATAAATAAGTAAACCGATTCCTGCTCCCTATCCCTCACGCCCCGGTGTCCCTTTGTCCCCTGCCCAGGGGATGAAGCTGTCCTCGGAGGAGTTCAACGCCATCTTCGCCTTCTACGACAAGGTAGGGGGGGGCGGCTCCCAGGAAACCACCCCATATAAATATATCTATGCAAAAAAAAAACCCAAATCAACCCCAAAACTACATGTTTTCGGGTGGGTCCGTTCCCCGCTGTGATTTGGGGCGCGAGCGGTGGGTTTGGCCCTGGCTGTGCTGGGGGTGCCCCCCGCGCCCGGCGAAGGGGGCGTTGGGGGGGTTGGGGGGCTCACGTCCTTCTCCCTGCGGACGTCCCTTCCTCGTTATCCAGGACGGGAGTGGCTTCATTGACGAGAACGAGCTGGACGCACTGTTGAAAGACCTCTATGAGAAGAATAAGAAAGTAAGTGAGGAAGAGAAAGGTGGGACGGAGCTGGGGGCCCCCCCTAGACCCCCCCCAATTCCTCCTCTTCCCCTCTCCCAGCAGCATCTTCCACCCCCTGCGTCCCTGCTTTGTGGGGACCAAGAGAGATGCGGGTCCAGATGCCAACCCTGTGTCCCCATGGGGGACTGGGGGGAGTCTCCCAGTTTGGGGGTGTCCCCCAGGGAGAAATGGCGTACACAGCCCCCCCGCCCCCCGGGGAACGGCAGGGGGGGTGTCCCAGCTTGGAGGTGCCCCCCCAGGGAGAAACGGGGTACCCAGACCCTCCGGAATCCCCCCCAGTTCCTCCCCCTCCCCTCTCCCAGCAGTACCTTCCACCCCATGTGTCCCTCCTCCATGGGGACCAGGAGAGATGCGGGTCTAGATGCCAACCCTGTGTCCTCATGGGGGAACTGGGGTGAGTCTCCCAGTTTTGGGGTGTTCCTCAAGGAGAAACGGGGTACACAGCCCCCCAGTTCCTCCTACTCCCCTCTCTTAGCAGCATCTTCCATCCCCTGCATCCATCTTCTGTGGGGACCAAGAGAGATGCTGGTCCAGATGCCAAACCTGTGTTCCCAGGGAGGAACTGCAGAGGGGGGGGTCCCAGTTTTGGGGTGCCCCCCAGGGAGAAACGGGGTACCCAGACCCTCCGGAATCCCCCCCAGTTCCTCCTCCTCCCCTCTCCCAGCAGCATCTTCCACTCCCTGCATCCCTGATCCATTGGGACCAGGAGAGATGCTGGTCCAGATGTCCCTATGGGGGATCAGGTGGGATGGGGGATGTCCCAGTTTGAGGGTGCCCCCCCCAGAGAAAAACGGGGTACCCAGCCCCCCTGCCCCGCCCCCCAATTCCTCCTGCTCCCCTTTCCCAGCAGCATCTTTCACCCCATGCATCCCTCCTCCATGGGGACCAGGAGAGATGCTGGTCCAGATGCCAACCCTGTGTGTCCCCAAGGGGGAACTGGGGGGGTGTGTCCCAGTTTGGGGGTGCCCCCCTCTCCCCCCAGAGAAAAACGGGGTACCCAACCCCGTTCCTTGCAGGAGATGAACATCCAGCAGCTCACCAACTACAGGAAGAGCATCATGAACCTCTCCGACGGGGGCAAACTCTACCGCAAGGAACTGGAGATTGTCCTCTGCAACGAACCCCCCATGTAGGACACCCCCAAACCACCACCTTCACCCCACATTCCTCCTCCCCAAAAATGAGCACAAGGGGGGACAGCTCTGTACTGCCCAGTATGGTGCGGTATAGTCCTGTATGGGCAAGTGCAGCCTTGTACAGCCCAGTATGGCCCAGTACAGCCCAGTATGGTGCGCTGCAGTCCTGTCCCACTACAGCCCAGCCTGACCCAGTTCAGCCCTGTGCTGCCCAGTATGGCCCAGTTCAGCTCTGTACTGCCCAGTATGGTGCGGTATAGTCCTGTATGGGCAAGTGCAGCCTTGTACAGCCCAGTATGGCCCAGTACAGCCCAGTATGGTGCGCTGCAGTCCTGTCCCACTACAGCCCAGCCTGACCCAGTTCAGCCCTGTGCTGCCCAGTATGGCCCAGTTCAGCTCTGTACTGCCCAGTATGGTGCGGTATAGTCCTGTATGGGCAAGTGCAGCCTTGTACAGCCCAGTATGGCCCAGTACAGCCCAGTATGGTGCGCTGCAGTCCTGTCCCACTACAGCCCAGCCTGACCCAGTTCAGCCCTGTGCTGCCCAGTATGGCCCAGTTCAGCTCTGTACTGCCCAGTATGGTGCGGTATAGTCCTGTATGGGCAAGTGCAGCCTTGTACAGCCCAGTATGGCCCAGTACAGCCCAGTATGGTGCGCTGCAGTCCTGTCCCACTACAGCCCAGCCTGACCCAGTTCAGCCCTGTGCTGCCCAGTATGGCCCAGTTCAGCTCTGTACTGCCCAGTATGGTGCGGTATAGTCCTGTATGGGCAAGTGCAGCCTTGTACAGCCCAGTATGGCCCAGTACAGCCCAGTATGGTGCGCTGCAGTCCTGTCCCACTACAGCCCAGCCTGACCCAGTTCAGCCCTGTGCTGCCCAGTATGGCCCAGTTCAGCTCTGTACTGCCCAGTATGGTGCGGTATAGTCCTGTATGGGCAAGTGCAGCCTTGTACAGCCCAGTATGGCCCAGTACAGCCCAGTATGGTGCGCTGCAGTCCTGTCCCAGTACAGCCCAGCCTGACCCAGTTCAGCCCTGTGCTGCCCAGTATGGCCCAGTTCAGCTCTGTACTGCCCAGTATGGTGCGGTGTAGTCCTGTATGGGCAAGTGCAGCCTTGTACAGCCCAGTATGGCCCAGTACAGCCCAGTATGGTGCAGTACAGGGCTGTCCCAGTACAGCCCTGTACTGCCCAGTATGGCCCAGTACAACCCTACACAGCCCAGTATGGTGCACTGCAGTCCTGTCCCAGTACAGCCCAGTCTGACCAAGTACATCCAGTATGGCCCAGTACAGCCCAGTATGGTGCACTGCAGTCCTCGATGGCCACGTACAGCCCAGTATGGCCCAGTATAAACCTGTGTGGCCCCATATGGTGCTGTGCAGTCCTATACAGCCCAGTACAGCCCTGTACAGCCCAGTATGGCTCAGTACAGTCCTCTGTCCCAGTACAGCCCAGTATAGCCTGGTACATGATGGCCCAGTACAGCTCAGTCGAGCTGCTGTCACAGTTGATCCCTCCACATCCCAGTACAGCCCAATGCAGCCCACTGCATCCTAGTCAACCCCTCCACATCCCGGTACAGCCCAGTAGAGGCCAGTACGGCCCTGTACAGCCCAGTATGGCACATTACAGTCCTGTATAGCCCAGTGCAGCCCAGTGTGGCCCAATACTGCCCTGTACAGACCTGTACAGTCCTATACAGCCCAGTACAGCCCAGTATGGCTCAGTACAGTCCTCTATGGCCCAGCACAGCCCAGCACAGCCTGTACAAGACGGCCCAGTAGAGCTCAGGGCAGCCCTCCGCATCCCAGTACAGCCCAATATGGCCCTGTACAGCCCCGTATGGGGGGGTACAGCCCAGTACAGCCCAGTGCGGCCCACCGCCTCCCAGTCGAGCCCTCCACACCTACAGCCCAGTATGGCTCAGTACAGTCCTCTATGGCCCAGCACAGCCCAGCACAGCCTGTACAAGACGGCCCAGTAGAGCTCAGGGCAGCCCTCCGCATCCCAGTACAGCCCAATATGGCCCTGTACAGCCCCGTATGGGGGGGTACAGCCCAGTACAGCCCAGTGCGGCCCACCGCCTCCCAGTCGAGCCCTCCACACCCCAGCACAGCCCAGTACACCCCAGTCCGGCGCAGGGACGGGGCTGGCGGGCGGCGCG